AAGTAGCTGTAGACAGCCGGGTGTTGTGTTTGCAATTTTTGTTTGTAACCTCGCTATCGCGCGCGGTGTTTCGGAAAAGAGCTTTTGATCCAAAAGCCTCCTCTGTCTCTTTATTACTCAATGTGCTGAAGCCGGCGCGTGCCATTTCAAATGAAGAGTTCTATGAGTGCAAACGTATGTAAATATACATATACGCGGAAAAAAGGCGACATTGCTGGACCACAGGCTTCGAAAGCTTCCTAAGCATTTTGTGTTGGAGCACCTGCTTTCTAATTTTGAGGGTAAGTACATATTATGTATGATAAGTTTACAAATATAATACATACATATATTTACATAGAGAATACACATAAGTCTATATACAGTATGTCAGAATGAGTTTACACATTGAATATAAATCTACTTTTTCAACTATAAGAATAAAAAATATGGGTATTTATAGTTAGTGGTGCTATTTTTAAAGAAACAGTAACATCAAAATGCATGTCCATATGTATGTACATATGTATCATATGTATTTTTGCAAGCGACACGGCGTCGTCTCGATGGCGGCGTCTTTCCTATTTTCTAGAAATGTATGTATTTCTGGTAATGTGTATGTATGCACATATGTATATACATACATACATATAACTATAAAGTATGTATACACATTGGTAAGTAGAAAAGTGACGAAATTGATCAAGCTAGAAAATGGCATTGAAGCCGCCGTTGAGACGACGTTGTACGCTTGCAACAATGCATACATATGTTTATATCGATGCAACGGTATGTGTGTATGTTTATTCAATTCTCAATTCTCATGCTTTTCTATGTGCACACACACGTAGTATGTACATACATATGTACGCATTACTTTGCTCGTTTTGATCATATTCTTGTTTTTGGATAAAAATTTATTTCGTCATAAAGTTATTTCGTGACATCTTCGACTAAAATATATGTGTCAAAGCAATTAAATAATTATATTTTTACATACATATATTACAGTTTGCAGTTTGTTTGTAGATGATGAAACAATAAGCTCCATGCCATTAAATGTTTCGCAATGGCTCGACTCGACGCAAGAAGTTAATTATCATGGACGAATGGTCTAAAACAAGGTCATAAATCCATTTCCAATATTTCAACGTTAATTTAAACAAATCGTACGTTATCTTTTCTTTTCAGAATTTTTAATATTAAGGTATAACTTGTGAACACTTTTTTTAATTTTATTATGGGAGTTCTTGGTTCAAGACTGATTGGGGCTTGTTTCAAGAATAAAATAATCTCCTACCAAGATTAAGGTATACTTGAAATATGAACAGAAAATCTTGTTTAAAGACTAAAGGCTAAAAAAAAAATTTAAGACCAAAATGTGATTAATATTTTAGAATTTTAGGTCATAAATTTAGTAAGATTTAAGTTTGTTAGCTCTTGAATCAAGATTTATATAAAATTATTTCAAGCTTAAACTGGGATTGTATTAAGGACATATTGGTCTTATATTAAGTATCTTCAAAACTTGATTCAACACTATTCCGTTCACAAATTCATTCTAATTAGGCTGAAAAACGCAACAAACAAACCTTGATTCAAGTATCAAGTAATTAATACTTGAAATTAGAATTTCATATTTGAATCAAGTATTACCGGTCGTCCCGTACTTTTATGACCGGGTTGACTTGATTCAAGTACGAAATTCTTGATTTTTCTTCTCTGTGTACATTTGCACAAATACATTATACAATGTGTTCAGTTGATGCTAATTAGGATATTATATATATTACATGTCATCGGAGATATCTTCTACTGCAGGTGTAACCATTTTCACAACAGCAGAAAGCAATAAGCCAAATTCTTAATCAATACAGTCAACCTAGGAAGGTAATCTTTAGGGAAATACAAACGTTTTTATATGCCCATTTATTGATTCTGCACTAGAGTAGAATATATTTGTATTAATTTTCTTCTATGTTATCTCCTTTTATAAAACTGACCAGATATACGAGCGGCGATAGCTTTGACGGATATGTATTTATATATTTATATTACTTACATTCGACTGAAGTAGTATTGGAAGAGTTTACTGCTGGTGTTATATATTTCAGAATTATACAGTTTTGTTTTCTATAGACTTGTGAGTCATTATTTCTATACTAAATGTTTGCAATACTAAACGAGAGGGCTCGAACAGTATTATGCTTGTTGAGAAACTCTTCCGAAGTAATAGAGTCAAAAGACATATTTTTAATTTTGCACAATACTTCACTTGATTATAAAACGCATTTAGTTTTTCTTACTGTATTTTGAGTATAAATGATGCCGATACATGTTCAACCATTTCAGCTTAAGATGATTTGCGCATAACTAAGATCAGGCTATTTAATATTATTTTTCCTTTCCATTAACAAATTTAAGCGCACTTGTGATTCGTCCAACATCCGACTTTTCCGACTCCGCCCAGCTAATAGCGCATTGGCTTAAAAGTTCCTGCCTAGTGCAGCTGAGAACAAGCATTTACAGCTGCAGCTACAAGCGACCAATCATAAAGCAAAGTGCTTTTATTCATCTTTCTCGGATAGGGCTTGGCTTGTATGTAGACTTACATTTCTTAATAACATACATACGAAAATGTAATATTGACCAACCGTATGGTATATACAACTATTCTAAAAGCGGTCTAGCATATAGATTAGTACCCATAAATTATATCGCTAACAGTTGGACCGCTTTTCTGTTACTTTTCAATTAAAAACGTGTTAATGGTTAACTAGTCTTTTACAAACAGCTTTGCGTGACATATGTACGTAAACGAACAAGTGTTATTACTAGATTATGGGAGGAAGTCACATTAGCATACCATACACATGCACATATATGTACATGAGTATTTACATTGGCTACAATGGACTGTTAGTATAATAGCAGACGCCCAATTCCATTTGTACTTTTGTGTAATTTGGCAATTTGGTGTCAAAACGTAATAAAATATAAACTCGTTTTCGACTAGAAGATAATTCTTACCCAGATTTCACTCATATAAGTAACTTTTTTACTTTCATGCATTAATTTTAATTTTTTATACAATCGTCTATTTGATTTGATTGGGATTCGAAAAATTATTAAAAATGTAAATAAGCTAGATTTCTGAATGCTTTTTGAGAGCCTTTGGGTCTCCGAAATTTTCTTAGCCCAGAAGAAGAATTAATCAACACATACCTTAGGATGTCGAAAATGTCATCATACATATATCTGATAAATACATTTGCACCACTTTATTATACCTGTTCACAAAAGAACTGTATCTGGCCGTCGAAATCCAACCGCCAATGTAACTCCGGAACCAGAACATGAAAAGTTTTATTCACCTCACACTAATGCATTGTAACATATATTCTGAAAATATACGACAGACGAAAAAATAACCTTCAAGTGAAAGAACGTGTTTTACTTCAACTTAGAAAAATACAATTTTCCTGAGCAGAAACGCTCCCCCAATTACTAGCAATTGCAACAAGTTTGCATGGAAGCCCTGCGGACGACCTACCACAACATTTGGTCCTTCGAGCCGGATTATTACAATTTTTTGAAGAGCCTAGTTTGCCAATCGGTGGTGATCCAAACATCCACAAACGACTCACAGCACCGTCCGATAAGGAGTCAAAGCGACTTTTAACCAAACCTTGAGCGGTTTTCGGGAAACTCAAGGTCAAGCGTACCAGCACAGATATATTACCCCTAAAATTACCCGTTCGACTACGCAAAAGATGCAGAAGTCAAGCGAAATGGCACTGAACGACTTCGTTTCGATAACTGACCGACTAGGCCAGTTTGAAGTGAAGATCAATGACGCAGCGGACAGTGACGTGTCACTGTTCCAAAGCTCTCAACCAAGGCTCTTGCAGCAGCAGTGACCTGGTGGCTATGCAAGCCAAATATGATTACTCGTACTCCGTTTACGAGCGATGTGCGGCTCAACTAAGTGAGAAAATAGAAAGAGCCACTGTCTTAAATAGACAAGCTGAGCAACCCCCCTCCAACTTCTCCATGTCCAGGGTTTGCAGTCTCCCGCCATGCGACACTGAAGCTTTCAGTGGAGATTACCTACGCTGGCCTACTTTCCGAGACTTGCTTACAGCGGTTTATATAAACAATCCAAGACTGACGCCGGTGGAAAAATTGTTCCACCAAAATTCCAAAACAAAAATTCCAAGTCCCTGCTCACGAATGACGGTTTTCAGTCAGCGTGGGCGAGCCTGACGGAGAGATTTGAGAATAAGCGACTATTAGTCAATAATCAATTGAAAATTCTTTTCAATCTCCCCTCAGCAACACAAGAGTCTGGAGCCGCCCTTAAAGAGCTTCAGGGCACAATCAAGGGGTGTTTAACGGCTCTTGACTTGTCCAGGGTGACCACCGAAAATTGGGATTCTCTGCTCATTTTCTTGTGCTCCTCTAAACTCGCCAGACAGCACCAGTTGAAAGAGTGCACTAGCGCACTTAGTTGTTTCACGTGCAAGGGACGCCACAAAACGCTGCTCCACCGTGACAGACCCCAGGTGCCCTCCGTTTCCACAATACCAATAGTTTTTAACCTTCCTTCGTCTATACAGTCCACTTCTACTTTCGCCCAAGCTACCGTTCAAAACTACTTTTCCGCAAACCTACATGGTGTTCTCCTCGGCACGGCTGCCATCCAAGTGTGTCAATTGGGCACAAACTATTGAGTTCGGGCACTAATCGACTCTGGGTCAGAAGCGACCTTTATATCAGAGCGGTTATTCAAAAGGGTTAAACTTCCATACTTCTTCCAAACTTCTATAGGAGCTCACAGATAGACGTGCTTCTCGGCGCCGATATCCTCCCATCCATATTGTTAGGTAGCTCCTATCCCAAGATATGTAGCACTCTCCTTGGTCAAGAAACGATTTTCGGCTGGATCCTTACAGGCCCCGTTTCTAAGACCAGTGCCAAATCTGTCGCATACTTTTCAACTCAAGTCTCGCTGAATCCAAATGCGAGCTTGGATAAACTGCTCACAAAAATTTTGGGAGGTGGAGGATATTCCAGTAAAGCTGGAAAAGGAATCCGACCTGTTTTGTGAGCGCAACTTTCAAAAAACTATTAAAAAATATAAAAACGGCAGATACTTGGTCACACTGCCATTCAAGAATTCCGATCACATCCAGTTAAGCTCAATTTCTTCGAAACGAGAATCGTTTGGCAAAAAATGCCCCCCTTACGGAGCAGTACGATGCGGTGATCCAGGAATATCTGGACTTAGGTCACATGCGACAAGTCCCTCTAAGCAATGGTTCGGATAACTACTATCGACCACACCATGCTGTTCACAAGCCTAACAGCACCACGACCAAGCTCCGCGTAGTATTTAACGCCTCCCACCCGTCATCGAATGGTAAAAGTCTGAACGATGTGCTACATGCAAGGCCCGTTCTGCAATCCGACTTAACCATTCAAATTCTAAGATGGCGCTTCTTCCGATATGTCTTCAATGCCGATATCACGAGAGAGTTCTCAGTTGAGAGTGATTGACGTGTTTTACTTGTGCTCCAAGATTTTTATATATTTTTGGGCTTAAATCCTGCTTTTTATTTCCAAATTTTGCATTTTTTGTGCTTTATTTAAAAAGCTTTTATAACTTGTGCAAAGTGTTATCTGTTGTGCAGCGTTAGTCTGTTAATTATCGTTTCGTTTCG